ATATTTTTTATTTTTTATAAATTTATTTGAAACAATTCAAGCGAGCAACTTACTTTTTGAGGAGAACTTCATAGGTTGATTTCTAAATTCACCATTGATATTATGACTAGAATTGTTGCCCAGTTCATCCAAATGAGGTCGCAAATGTAGACCAGGATGAAATTAGATTTTGATGCATTACGATATCGATCAGAGCAGATAGAAAAATGGCTTACTGTGAATGATTTCGAGGAAAAGAATGATGAGAGGACTGGGAAGGATTAGGGATATTTTTTATTTTTTATAAATTTATTTGAAACAATTCAAGCGAGCAACTTACTTTTTGAGGAGAACTTCATAGGTTGATTTCTAAATTCACCATTGATATTATGACTAGAATTGTTGCCCAGTTCATCCAAATGAGGTCGCAAATGTAGACCAGGATGAAATTAGATTTTGATGCATTACGATATCGATCAGAGCAGATAGAAAAATGGCTTACTGTGAATGATTTCGAGGAAAAGAATGATGAGAGGACTGGGAAGGATTAGGGATATTTTTTATTTTTTATAAATTTATTTGAAACAATTCAAGCGAGCAACTTACTTTTTGAGGAGAACTTCATAGGTTGATTTCTAAATTCACCATTGATATTATGACTAGAATTGTTGCCCAGTTCATCCAAATGAGGTCGCAAATGTAGACCAGGATGAAATTAGATTTTGATGCATTACGATATCGATCAGAGCAGATAGAAAAATGGCTTACTGTGAATGATTTCGAGGAAAAGAATGATGAGAGGACTGGGAAGGATTAGGGATATTTTTTATTTTTTATAAATTTATTTGAAACAATTCAAGCGAGCAACTTACTTTTTGAGGAGAACTTCATAGGTTGATTTCTAAATTCACCATTGATATTATGACTAGAATTGTTGCCCAGTTCATCCAAATGAGGTCGCAAATGTAGACCAGGATGAAATTAGATTTTGATGCATTACGATATCGATCAGAGCAGATAGAAAAATGGCTTACTGTGAATGATTTCGAGGAAAAGAATGATGAGAGGACTGGGAAGGATTAGGGATATTTTTTATTTTTTATAAATTTATTTGAAACAATTCAAGCGAGCAACTTACTTTTTGAGGAGAACTTCATAGGTTGATTTCTAAATTCACCATTGATATTATGACTAGAATTGTTGCCCAGTTCATCCAAATGAGGTCGCAAATGTAGACCAGGATGAAATTAGATTTTGATGCATTACGATATCGATCAGAGCAGATAGAAAAATGGCTTACTGTGAATGATTTCGAGGAAAAGAATGATGAGAGGACTGGGAAGGATTAGGGATATTTTTTATTTTTTATAAATTTATTTGAAACAATTCAAGCGAGCAACTTACTTTTTGAGGAGAACTTCATAGGTTGATTTCTAAATTCACCATTGATATTATGACTAGAATTGTTGCCCAGTTCATCCAAATGAGGTCGCAAATGTAGACCAGGATGAAATTAGATTTTGATGCATTACGATATCGATCAGAGCAGATAGAAAAATGGCTTACTGTGAATGATTTCGAGGAAAAGAATGATGAGAGGACTGGGAAGGATTAGGGATATTTTTTATTTTTTATAAATTTATTTGAAACAATTCAAGCGAGCAACTTACTTTTTGAGGAGAACTTCATAGGTTGATTTCTAAATTCACCATTGATATTATGACTAGAATTGTTGCCCAGTTCATCCAAATGAGGTCGCAAATGTAGACCAGGATGAAATTAGATTTTGATGCATTACGATATCGATCAGAGCAGATAGAAAAATGGCTTACTGTGAATGATTTCGAGGAAAAGAATGATGAGAGGACTGGGAAGGATTAGGGATATTTTTTATTTTTTATAAATTTATTTGAAACAATTCAAGCGAGCAACTTACTTTTTGAGGAGAACTTCATAGGTTGATTTCTAAATTCACCATTGATATTATGACTAGAATTGTTGCCCAGTTCATCCAAATGAGGTCGCAAATGTAGACCAGGATGAAATTAGATTTTGATGCATTACGATATCGATCAGAGCAGATAGAAAAATGGCTTACTGTGAATGATTTCGAGGAAAAGAATGATGAGAGGACTGGGAAGGATTAGGGATATTTTTTATTTTTTATAAATTTATTTGAAACAATTCAAGCGAGCAACTTACTTTTTGAGGAGAACTTCATAGGTTGATTTCTAAATTCACCATTGATATTATGACTAGAATTGTTGCCCAGTTCATCCAAATGAGGTCGCAAATGTAGACCAGGATGAAATTAGATTTTGATGCATTACGATATCGATCAGAGCAGATAGAAAAATGGCTTACTGTGAATGATTTCGAGGAAAAGAATGATGAGAGGACTGGGAAGGATTAGGGATATTTTTTATTTTTTATAAATTTATTTGAAACAATTCAAGCGAGCAACTTACTTTTTGAGGAGAACTTCATAGGTTGATTTCTAAATTCACCATTGATATTATGACTAGAATTGTTGCCCAGTTCATCCAAATGAGGTCGCAAATGTAGACCAGGATGAAATTAGATTTTGATGCATTACGATATCGATCAGAGCAGATAGAAAAATGGCTTACTGTGAATGATTTCGAGGAAAAGAATGATGAGAGGACTGAGAAGGATTAGGGATATTTTTTATTTTTTATAAATTTATTTGAAACAATTCAAGCGAGCAACTTACTTTTTGAGGAGAACTTCATAGGTTGATTTCTAAATTCACCATTGATATTATGACTAGAATTGTTGCCCAGTTCATCCAAATGAGGTCGCAAATGTAGACCAGGATGAAATTAGATTTTGATGCATTACGATATCGATCAGAGCAGATAGAAAAATGGCTTACTGTGAATGATTTCGAGGAAAAGAATGATGAGAGGACTGGGAAGGATTAGGGATATTTTTTATTTTTTATAAATTTATTTGAAACAATTCAAGCGAGCAACATACTTTTTGAGAACATAGGTTGATTTCTAAATTCACCATTGATATTATGACTAGAATTGTTGCCCAGTTCATCCAAATGAGGTCGCAAATGTAGACCAGGATGAAATTAGATTTTGATGCATTACGATATCGATCAGAGCAGATAGAAAAATGGCTTACTGTGAATGATTTCGAGGAAAAGAATGACGAGAGGACTGAGAAGGATTAGGGATATTTTATATTTTTTATAAATTTATTTGAAACAATTCAAGCGAGCAGCTTACTTTTTGAACAATCTTCTTTTTGATTTGTTTAATTCATTTCTTTTATTTTTTGTATTCTAGTTCAATAATTGCTTGGATTTGTAAATTTTATTGTATCATTAGAATTGAATGGGTTATGATTGCTAGTGTGAAAATTATAATGATAAACAAGGATCTTTAATTTAAAAGCTTTTAGAAAAAGAAGTTTGTTATATGTACACAAAACGAAGCCATTTATAAATTTCTACATATGTTCAGCATTCAATATCTTTTTTGAAGGAGTGCGACTACATTTAATTTTTTTGTCAGTTTGTAATAGATACTAGCAAAATATCACAAAATGTTGGCATCGAACTCCTAAGAAAAGGATGTCATGCGCCTTCTCCTACCATACTAGTATCATCACTAGCTATGACTGCAGCTCCATCTAATGTAGCAGAGGGATCATATTGTTGATGCCAATTAAGGCATCGAACATTAGCAGCAAGTTATGTCTTCTGTTTAGACTGTGATTTTGTGTTTGCACTAATTAATTTTTTCGCCGTGTTTCCAATTTTGCAAGTCGGTGAGGATGTAGTTTGCTCACTGCTCAGCTGAGATCCTTTAAATTATAGGTGGAGAGCAAGCCAAACAAATCAAATGCTCTGTGAAAGCATGAGGACCTCCAATTATACATGTGATTACTCCCTACATAGGGGATATAAAAGGAGACTGCTAAGAGAGTTCATGCATTAAATCTTTAACAAATTAAAAAAGTGCTAATAAATTTATTACATTGGCACTCGAGTTGGGAAGAGAGCCTAGCGCTTCCTAGTTACAAAGTTAATTCATGCACTGAATCTTATTACAAATTAAAAATGTGCTAAAAAATGCATAACATTGACATTAGAACTTATTTAACCTCTACTCTTGGCCATTTTTTTTAATAAAAGAAAAGTTGAAGGTGAGCCGAACCCCTACAGTTAAAAGGTCTTAGATAGGATCCCAAGTCTTGATCCATCCAAGTACTGGCCATCTAAGTATGAGATGTGGAGGGAGACACTCCAAGGCAGAAACTGTAGGCCTCATAAAATTTCTCATTACTAGAAAAGAAGTGGGCGGAGCTACTTGTAATGATCACGCTTAAAAGCTTTCACAAAACAATTCTCTGTAATGATCACGCTTAAAAGCTTTCACAAAACAATCCTCACTAATAAACTAATAAGGTCATTAAGATGACATTATCATTAGGAATAATCCCTAGAGAGCATTGACAGCGAACATTTAATGGCATAAAAGCACAAATGCATTGCAAAAATATTGAATACATAATGTACCATAACAAATAGAGGCTACTTATTCTGTGTGTTAAAAGTTTGACTTGTCGAAATTAAACCAGCAAAGTATCTTTTGGTGGATGTTAAAAGCATGATTAAATTAATTTTATCGTTTTCTAGTGTAACAATTTCCAAATATGTACCGCTAAATGAAGATTTTTTCCCAGAATAGATTGATTCAAAAACAGTTTCACGACCCGAGCCCAGAATAGATTGATTCAAAAACAGTTTCACGACCAGAGAAAAAAAAAAAAGAAAAACAGTATATAAACTATCACTGTTTTAATGAAATTTTGCAAATCTGCTGCTTGATTAAAATATATATCTTGATTTCAAAGACATGGTGTAGTGAATGTTTTATATTATGGAGAAAATGTGTTACTGATGCTTAACCCCGTCAATATCTTAAAAACTCAAAATAGCGATCTAATGACTGCCCACAGATCCATTTCAGAAAACAATAATCCGATAAGAAAAGCAAATTTCACCTATTTATTTAATGATAATTCAAACTAAAACACATCCACTTAATAACTTAATGCATGAAATTACATAACCATTAAAGCTTGAGCATATTATTACAATAAAAGCAGTCCAAAGCAAACATAACTAGATCAATATTAATTTCAAATGGCACTCCGAACGATAGAGGCCCAGTAGCTTTTATTTCTGCTCTCCAAGGCCTAAAGTGTTCTTGACAGCTTCTGTTGTTCCCTGCGCCGCACTCTTCACTTTATCTCCAGCCTGTTTGCGACAGATTAAGGACATGGAACAAATGTAGTTAAACTCTTTTAAGCCTAAGTAAATAGATATATACCTGTTGCAGATAGCTACCAGCATTATCCTTTCCCTCTACTGCATGATCCTTTGCTGCCTGAGCAGTCTCTACAGTCTTGTCCTTAGCTCCTGTAGCGGCATCAGAAGCCTTTCCTGCCAAGTTACCTGCTTTCTCCTGGAGCAAAGAATCATGTTTTGATTTGACACTAAAAGAAATTTAGGATTTATCCTGAAACGTGATCCGTGACCCGTGAATCGTGACCCGTGAACCCGTGACCAATGTAATCATATTTTCAAACAAAACAATCAATACAAACGGTACTATGGCATTCTCACAAAAGCCCCGCACTTATAAATTGACCCAAACGGCCCGTAATTCCTGAATCTGAGTATGAAGAGAAGGAGATACCTGAGTTTGTCCTTTGGCCTCTCCAGCATGATAGGCAGCTTTATCCTCAGTCGACATTGTTACTAATTTCTTTAGATTCTTGTTCTTTACACTAAGAAGAAAAGGTTTGGTTGCAATGATGAAGCAGGGAGCCGATTTTATAGGCTGTGAAGTGTAATGTATGAGTGACACGTATGTAACGCTGCATGGATACGTTGACACGTGCGTGGACACCTGTCAAGTGGGTAGAAGAAATAGTCAGAAAATCAACAGATATACTATTTAATTTCTTTATGAAAACATTTCTATCTTATCCCCTGAGGCTAAGTTGTATTATCAACTGGGAGGTGGCAAGTAAAGGCGGAGGCATGTGAATGAGCTCCATCCGCGTCTTTAGAGCAATTAATTCGCTCAACGACAATATGAAAAAGAAATAATAATAAATGCGTTCTGATTTAATCGTGAGAAAGATTTGATGGGGTAGATGGATAGGTCGGCTAGCTGGAGGTGAGTCTGCTAAATTTATCACATTTCGGTGGTGCTTTGGCAAATTGATTTAGTCATAGTTAGATTTAGTAAATTCAGATTTGTTAAATTTATCCTTTTGCTGCATTTATTAAATTTGGATTTAGCTTGAGTTTTTCATATTTGGCTGGATTTACCAACTCCCAACGGATAAATGGTTTAGCAAACACCCCCTTCATTTATGATCATCAAGTATTTATTCTAATGGCCCAAAAGGTTTTGAAAAAAGTAAAGTGTTTTGATCTTATTTGATGGATGAATTCAATAAGGTTCACATATTATTTTTAACAATAAAATACAATTTAGTTGAAAGTGCACATATTGGAGTTATAGTTAGATTTAACTTAAATCTGTCACATTAAAATATTATTTTTAAAATTTTGATTTACTAAATCTTTTTATTAATTTCTTCATAATTTTATCTTGATTTTGAATCTAGTAAAACTTATTGATAATAGTATTTTATAAATTTAAATTTATAGGATTCAATTAAATTGCTAAAATTATTCATACAACCCCAGTGTTGCCTAGACTAAGTTCTTTTATAGTTTACGGAAGGTGATCGATTCCATAAATTAAGTTTCGGAAGATTTGCAGCAGTATGTCACAGACAAAAAGTCCCACATCGGCTAGGTGTAGGGCCGAAAAGCAATATTTAATTCCTGAGCTGCCCACCACCCCTAAGAGCTATTTTGGGAGGTGACAAGTAGTATAAGAGCAGATTATTGTTTGTCAGGTGTGTGAACTCTCTATGGTCCAGTGGGACCCTCGGTGGAGCCGATCCGTGACGAGCGAGGGCGCTACGTGAATGAGTGGAGAAGAATGTCACGGTCAAAAAGTCCCACATTGGCTAGGTGTATGGCCGAAAAGCAATATTTAAGTCTTGAGCTGCCCACCACCCCTAAATGCTCTTTTGGGAGGTGACAGGTAGCACACGTAGACAAAGGAGAAGTAAGGATTGCGTGACACCTTGAATTTTTTTTGTGAAAAACACTATAAAGATAAAAAATCATGGGGCGTAGCTCTATTGAAATAAATCAATATGTAAGTATATAAATTTACTTACCTCTTGAATTAGAGTATATGAAATTACAATGTTTATGTATAATGCTTGTTCGGTAATAATAGTTGTAATAACCTGTAAAGGTTGTAGTTGATTACTATGAAGGCAGTAGCCTGCCGTGAATGTTATTAACGGTGGTTGTAGTGTCAGCAGCTTGTTGTAGAGGATGTAGTCGAAAGTCGTGGATTTAATTAGTCATGTAGGTCGTAGATGGTTGCTTCAGGAGCATCAGTTGACCATGAATGTTGTAGTAGAGAGCTGCGGGTGTTGTGAGTCACGTAGATCTTACTTGATCACATAGGTTGTAGTTATGAACAGTGATAATGTTCGTAGGCCATAATTGTTAGAGTTGAGAGTTACAAGAGATGTGGTCCATGTAGGTCGTAATTGGTCGAGTAGATTGTAGTGTGGCACTACAAAAAAAAAATATTTTTAGTAGCCTTATTTATTGATCCGTCCCAAGTATGTGTGTCACAATGATGTAAGTTTCCGTACTCCTCAGAAACTTGATCCACTCCTTAGTAAATTGATTGAGTCCTTAAAATTAGATATTCTTACACATTGGGGTTTCTCACGCAAGCATATATATCGTTTCAGTAATATAGGGCTCAAATGAGTTTGAAATATTGATCCCACAAGGAAGTGAGGTAGTTAATTCTATAGGTGAAGTTCTAGTCTACTACTTTTAGGTCCTAATTTGATGCCGATTACTACTATTTTTCTAACTACTCCTAAATATCAGCACTAAGTATAAATATAAATCTAACTAGAATAATGGGTTTGGTGGAAATTAATATATGAAGGCTACCTTTCTCTTGTGATTGCATAAATAGAAATGTAGGATAGGATACTAAGAATCTAATGTGGCTAGTGACAATAGTAGCAAGAATCCAAGTTACCCTCTTCCGAGTGTGTAACAAAGTTTATTTTAACTCAGCAAGTGTTTCTTCCTGTCAGCCTAGAAACTCCTATGTTAAATTCCCTCAAAATTTTCTCCCTAACTATTTGCATTGTCTTATGGCCTACTTTTCCTTCACCCGTAAGTTCAATGTGGTTCTTACTAGTTATTAAAGTTATAGCCCTCCCAGATCATTATGGGTTCACAGTAGATTTTAACACATCAATAGATCAGATTGATAAGTAAATTAAGCATGAAGTAAAAGCCATCACATTGAGATTACAATATTAGTTTTATAGTACTCAATAACCTACAAATTCTACCTATTTATCACAAAAGAAAAGTGCAAGAATTCTACTCACAAAACATGTTTAACAAAATAAAAAAATTCATTAAATTAAAAAAATCCATTAAATATGTGTTTACAATAAATACAAGAAAATAAAGAGCTCAATTCTTAGCTTTTTCTTCTGAAAAATAAATGAAAATCCCTCCAACAAAGCCTCATACTATTCCTTGTAGATATGATTCCCTTACAAGATTCCTCAATTTCTCTCTCCAATATATCCCAAAAAGATAAAAATCTACAATTCTCACTGCTTCTTGCATAATTCCAGGAATTAGAAATGTCAAAAAGTCCATTCTCTAAGCATTAAAATCCATCAAATATATCCTAAAGTTGTGGCTTAGCAACTGCAGAAAACGGTCGTGCCTTGGCTCCCTAAACTTGGCTCTTAGGCGTTGCTTTCTCGGTTGGATGTGTTGAGTTATGGTGTCTAGGCGCCTGATCCACCTAAAAATAACATGTTTGTTTCATGTTCATTTATGCCTATTTTTGATGATATTGCACTTTAAAGGAAGATATTTTGCATGTTTTTGGTTTTAGGTATATGGAATGGACATTTGACGAAAATAAGGACAAAATAGAGAAAAAATGGATATTTTTGTATGGCGCCATAGCGCCACCCTTGGAGCCATAGCGCCAGTAGACGCGCTGAATGGGTGTTATAGCGCCAGTAACCAACTTTCTATAATATCCATTAAATTTGACCGAATTTTGAAGGGGTGCTTGAATTGACCCCTGATGATTTTTAGTTATTTATTAATAGGGCTAAATTTTTGGATGAAAAGAGAGTCCTTTTAGAGTCTTCATGAAGTCATTTTGTGTAATTTGGGAGGGGTCGGTTGAGTCTAGTGTGTGTGTGTGTGTAAGAGAGTGAGAGTCTTTGTTTTAAGTAATAGTTTGGAGATTAGCTGCAAGGAAACTTCAAGATTTTCTTAGGGAGAAGATAAAAAGATAAGTATCTTGTATTTGTGTTTAAGTATTTGTTGTAAGACTTGGATTTTAATATAAATTATGTGTTTTTATTTTATTTCCATGAATTCTTAGTAGTTCTCTTTCTTTTTCCTTGCATATTGGAATTAATTTTGTGGGATGAGAATGATTTAAAGATCTCTTTTTATTTGTAAAATATTGTGATGATATTTTCACTGGTTTTTGTTTGACTTTGCAAACTTGCCATGTGTATCATTAAAATCTGTTGAAAAACATAATGACCCGGGAGGGCTATAATTTCACAAACTAGAGAGTACCACATTTCATCTTGGGCAGAGTCGTTGCGATCACTTGAGGGGAGTGACAAATAAATATCAAAATTTTAAATACTTCATAAAATAGGCCACCAAGAAATCCACAACCGAAAAAAAATAATATTAAGTCACACCAACACAGAGAATTCAGGTACAGAATAGAAAAATTGACCCTTAATAAAACCAAAGCCAGCTATAAATTCTGAACAAACAATAATTCACAATTTTTTTCCTCTCTAACCTTCCATATAAGAAATAACCTTAGAGATCAAAGCCATCATTCAGCGATAAAGCAGCCAACTGATCAGAGGGCACATTACCTAATTGTTATTGATGTTACTGTTGTTCCTGGGCAACATTTCTCAGAACTTCCATGAATTCAACAACTTTGGCTTTCATAGCATCAAATGATTCCAACAAATGCAGCACCTCAGTTTGGTCCATTTCCAACAGCATTCCCGTCACTTTCTGCATATAGTCACGTTCCAGTTTCTCGACGAGCGGGTAAAGGCTGTCACCCAGCATCGTTGTTTGCTGCTTAGGTGCAGTGTTTGTGGGAGCATAAGTCAATGTATCGATGGGAATAGGCTGCGATAAGGTGGTGTCTCTGATGGGCATGTCGCCCATGTCGTAATGGATGAAGAATATATATATATATATATATACATATGACAAAAACAATGGTTGTTCATTTTAGTCTCAAAATTTTTAAGTGTCAATTTTGTATGTTAACTTAAGTTTTCATTTGTAGGCATGTGGGACAATGTGGTTGGATAAGTTTGTAAATTTTTTTTTTATCTATTTCATTTTAATGCATTTAGCGCACCCTTCCATTTTATTATGACATGAACTTTTTTTTTTGAAAGGTAGATATCCAAATTAAACTCCGGATTTCAATAATTTCAAGTTATTTTATTTCACAAACTTCTTTAAAGAACAAAAAATTGGATTCAATTAATGGTTTGAAATCAATGTATTATAGGATTGAGGTTAGTCGCTTCACTTCAAACTTTCATTGATATTTAATGAAGTTTAGATACATTCTTTTTAGTTATTTGTAGATTAA